GATTATTTGATTAACTGTTTCTGCCACGACAAAGATTTATTTGTTTATATTTTTTGCCGCTATCAAAGCAACATAATATGGCTGCGGGCCAGATATTATTGTTGGCTGGCAGTTTTGGAGGGTCCATAATCACAGAGAAAATGAATGTGTTTCCCTTGTTAATGTTTTTATAAACTTTATTAACAGTTTTTTTGGATTGCTTAAGCACGATTTTCAAAACAGGGCCAGTGTTTTCAAAACACTACACACAATTAGCACAACCACAGCACTACAGATCCTTTGCATAATCAAACACTCTTGTAAAAACTATACACTTCTGTTTAAAAACCACACTTTGTTACCATATGAAACACACGTTTCACATTACTATACTCTGTTTGCACGAGTTGCACTCTGCTGTGATAAACCTAAAACACTTTTAGCACTTCTACTTCCCTAAGATTAGAGTAGGCTACCATCAACAAAGTACAAATATAATGTAAATTCACCAAACACTACACAAGACCAATGTTGCAGACTGAAGAAACTCATTTATTTCTCAACGTGCCCAAAATGTTGACATGGAGATTCATAATACTGCAACAAAATGTCACTTTACGTATTGTACTGTAAGTTTACTGTAAAAAAAAAACAAAAAAAAAACTAGACATTGTCTCTTCGTCTAGCTGGATCTGGCCAGAGAATTTCATCAACATCGCAGGCAATGTTGTCATAGCAAGATACCTTGGAAAGAAACGTCTTGAATGACGAATCCATCCTTGCATTTCTGCTACCTCCATCTGGTCACAGGCCTCCTCCATGGCTTGGATGAGGGGTACCTCAGCCTGGAGACGGAGATCATATCTACCTTCCACCGCCATGCCGAGAAAAACTCTTCTATAGGGTTGAGGAATGGAGAGTATGGTGGAAGATATAGGACGGTGAAATGTGGATGTTGCTGAAACCAGTTCTGAACCAGAGCAGAGCGGTGGAAAGACACATTGTCCCAGACAACAATGTATTGCATATGATCGATTTGATTTGCTGCTGTTATGTTGTGCAATTGGTCCAAGAATGTAAGTATGAGTGCTGTGTTGTAAGGGCCCATATGGGCATGGTGGTGGAGGACCCCATTCTGTGTAATGGCTGCACAGAGTGTTATATTACCCCCACGTTGCTGGGACATTGACTATAGCCCTGTGGCCAATGATGTTTCTTCCCCTCCTTTTAGTTCTCGTCAGGTTGAACCCAGCCTCATCTACGTAAATGAATTCATGCTGGATTTCCTCTCCATCCATTCATAAAACTCTCTGAAGAACAGTGTCAGGCAAAATTGTGTAGTTCAGTGTAGATCTAGTATACATATTACAGTAAAAGATTATGAGACAGTACGCAAGATCACACTGCTAAAGTGAATATATACCTCTGCTTAATCATGCCGCAGTCGTTTCACCTTTTCGGAATTGTGCTCGAAAGGCGCTTGATAAATTTGCTTCATTTGAATATGTTTTGGGTTTTTTTTAGGATGCGTGCCAGTGTTGATGTTGAGACCTGATGGATATCGTTGAAACTGGCGTGGTTATTGACAGTGTTAGCTTGGAGCTGATTGAGTGATATAGCATTGTTGGCCAAAACCATGTTTACTATCTCCCCCTCTTGCTGTTCTGTGAACATAGAAGGCCTTCCCCCTTGTCGTTCCTGACCCTCAATCCTATGTAGAAAAATAAAAACAGTATACAATAGTACAGTAATTTCACAGGAAAAGGTAACAGAAGTGCTGATAGTGCATAGAATGCAGTACTGTAAGCAGTTACTGAAACCGTGCAGATGTTTTTGATATGATATTTTTACAATACCTATTTTCCAGTCAAAATGTTCTCATCACACTTGCCACTGTGTATCGGCTTAGATTTGGCTGTACTCGCAGTCCAGCCTCCCTCAGCGTCAGGCCGTGGTTGACAACGTGGTCAACCAGTGTTGCGCGGATCTCAAATTGTCAGATTCGGTCCTCTTTGAGCAACTTCTTGTCTTCCTCTTCCTCTGTTGATTCCCCTTCCTCCTCCTTGTTCTCCTCCTTGTTCTCCTCCTTGTTCTCCTCCTCGTCTTACTCTTTCTCTGACTCTTTCCATTGTGCTTGAAGACCGACGAACTCACCTGCTGCTTTTTATAGTGCTTATACACCTGATTGGTGTGTCTACAATTAAGCAAACAAGTGTTTGCACACCTGATGACTGTGTTGAACCAATTGGTTGGACGGTGCAGTAATTTGACAGTCAGTGCTTTGGTATTGCAAGGAAGTGACTTCATGATAGATTTTTGTGTATAATGTATGTTAAGTGTGTTTAGTGTTTTGCAAATCACTGTGTGTAGAGTTTTGCAACAAGTGTGAGGTTGACAATGTGCTTATAGTTGTGCAAATATGGGCTGATGTTTTGCTTCTTGAGTGTAAGGTTTTGCTAATAGTGTACTACTTTTAATTTTAGTGTGTAAGCAATCCAAAAAACTGTAATATGTGGTTTATAATGGACTGTGGTGCAGAAACAGTGACAGTGTTTCACACTCTTGGCTTACATTTTCCATGTTGTCTGTCAGAGACCAAGTCACAATAACATATGGTTTTACTGAATAATTAAGTAAATATAATTTCTTAATAAATATACTAAAGAAACCTCACTTCTTGAGTGGCCATTCTCTGCTGTCTCAGACACCTTTTGTGCTGTGTCAGCCACTGTAGCTGTCCTACGGTCTTTGAAAGGGCAGGCGACAGTGGTAGACTGGACAGATGGTTGCAATTCACAACCCTCACCACTAGATGGCACTAAATCTTAGACACTGAACCTAAGGACTAGAACTATGGGCTAAGTTACAACCCATGCCATTTTTCTTTGTATACATTTAAATGTTACACTATATTGCCAAAGGTTTTGGGTTGCCTGCCTTTACATGCACATGAAGGTTAATGACATCCCATTCTTAATCCGTAAGGTTTAATGTGTAGTTGGCCCACCCTTCGCAGCTATAACAGCTTCAACTCTTCTGGGAAGGCATTAGCAGTGTGTTTCTGGGAAGTTTTGACCATTCTTCTAGAAGCACATTTGTGAGGTCAGGCACAGATGTTGGACAAGAAGGCCTGATTTGCAGTCTCTAATTCATCCCAAAGGGTGTTCTATTGGTTTGGGGTCAGGACTCTGTGCAGGCCAGTCAAGTTCTCCACACCACTCCTATCCATGTCTTTATGAACCTTGCTTTGTGTACTGGTGTGCAGTCATGTTGGAACAGGAAGGGGCCATCCTCAAACTGTTTCCACAAAGTTGGGAGCATGAAATCGTCCAAAATGTCTTGGTATGCTGAAGCATTAACAGTTCCTTTCACTGGAACTAAGTGGCCAAGCCCAACCCCTGAAAAACAACCCCCACACCATAACCAATGGCTTCCACTTTGTAATATATATATATATAATACCACTAACATTTAATCATGGAATACTTAGTAGTGAGGAAATTTCATAAATTAAATTATTGCACAGGTGGCAACCTATCACAGTACCACGTTTGAATTCACTGAGCTCCTGAGAACGACCCTTTCTTTCACAAATGTTTGTAGAAGCAGTCTGCATGCCTAGGTGCTTGATTGTATACACCTGTGGCTAGGGCTGTGAGATATGATCTCATATCACGATATAGGTCATTTCATATCCCAATAACGATATACTGTATCCTGATTTACAGCATGTTTTTGTAAATTCAATGCATCATAAAGGTGGGGTTAGCTATTCTGGAGAAATCCAACACCAGGACAAATATCACAATAAAGAGTTAACAACAACATAGCAATTAATGTAACTAATGTTAGCTAGGTTGTGGGTTAGGAAGCTGTTGCTATTTGTTGCTGCAAAGCTAACATGAGAGGACAAGACGGTCCCAGAGCAGCACAGCAGCTCCAGACAGCGATACAACTCTCCTGCTGCTATAGCTAACATCACAACAACAACATATCTTGGTGAACTAGAAAGTAAGTTGAATGCCTGTGAGCAAGCCATTAAATGTTACCTGACACATACATCAAGGCTGAAACTGCTGGAATAATGTTGCGTGGCTCGTCCATACAACAGACTTCTCTCTTTGGTTTAAACTCATTTTTGCTTGCATGGTCTGATTCCTCCTGTTCAGTATTATCCACTTATGAGTAAACTTTCATTCACATTTGTTTGTTCTTAATGCAAATTTCTTCCCTGCAACACCAGCAAGTGTGGAAGAACGGACCACAGTGAAGTTAGCTTTAAGGTGAATTTTAGATTAGTGTTGAGTGTGCGAGTCTGCAACACAACAAAATAAATGATAGACGTTTTTTTGGGGGGGGAGGGGGGGGGGCGCGATCGTAGTTTTGTTAGGGTGAAATCTGTTTTAAAATGCGCTACTTTGGCTCTGATCCAGCTGCCTCTCTCTATCACTAGGGGTAGTCTTGCTTAATGTCCCGCCCACGGCACTGTGTGATTGGTTACAAGTCGCGAATAATAACCTATCAACACTCACGAGACATTTTCTCCAGTGATCAGCGGAGCTGTGAGTCAGAGGGAAGGTAGCCATTACTAAAGCTACAATAAACTTCACAATCTGATGATCTGTTTCTATGATGACAAGCAGACCAGTGTCCCTGTTACACCAGTCACCATGCCGGAACACACAGCTACGTTTCACTTAATGACACTCTTGAAAGTGGCAGCTTTTAAATCAGTCTGTCTCCCCTTACCCACTCGTTGCACTTCAGAGGTAAACACAGCATGCATCTGTCTTTTCTGCATTTATACTGCAGCTCTGCATTGCGAAAACGGTTCATATTTATTATCTTAATAATAAACAGAAATATGGCTCTACATCTTCATGTACCACAGTCTATGATAAAACGTCAAACACATGTAGCCTTGCTCATGCAGCAAAAGTAGGTAGAGGAATGGTAGAAGAACTTTTGTGATATCACTGAATGGAAATATGATGCAGCGTTTGTGATAATTGTCTTTTCAGAGCCCATGCCTGAATCCAGGATGAATAAAATCGCTGTTGGGACGGCAGGGCTGCTGTTGTGTCTGGTCTTTGTAGTTGCTGGGCGGATTTACTACAAGATAAAATCTACTGGTGAGAGATTAATTCTAATTAATAAGTTTTACTTCTAATGATAGCAGCTCAGACCTCAGTGTCACACTTTGTGTGTTTTCTGATTGCAGTGCGGGTTTTGGTGCCAACCACTGAGGTAAGTATTTACATTTAACATCATCTTTCTGTCAGTTTGTCCGACACATTTATGGCACAGTGTCATTAATCTGACTCAATAATCTATCTTCCTACAGGGTTTATGTCCAGAGCACACACTTTAAATAGGAAAAGCCTGTTGGGAATCATTCAGAATACTATACTGACCAAATCCAATAGATCAATCGTTTATATGTGCCAATTTCTTTCAATAAATGACTCATTCTTTTCTTTTTCTGCAACATAAATGTTTTAAACTATATATGTTCATCATATGGCTACAATAGATGAGTCTAACAGCTCAAAGTAGTGTAGAACGATAAATACCAGATCTCAGTAACAGCTTAGAGCACTGTGGTTTCCTTTTGTAGGCTACTTCTCTACAATGTTGTGGCCTAAGTTGATATTTGTTCTTCTCTATTAAACTTTTTTCAATAAGACCTCAGAAGCGTATCTTTGACTTTCCAGCCATAGTTCTTTGCCTCTGTCTCACTCCTTGTCAGGATGATGACAGCAGGCTCATAGGAAGATGCTGTAGCTCAGGCATCAGACTAGCAGTTATTGGTGAGATCATTAGATTTCAGATTTAGGCCAGTTACAGGGTACCCCCAGGATTCTCAAAGTTAAATTTAAGACTTTTTAAGACCTATTTAATACCAACTTCATTGCCATTTAATGGAAAATCTGTGTTAATTTTAAGCCCGAGAAAATTATTCACGAAGTTACATGAATTTAATAATTATATATATATATATATATATATAAATATAAAAAAAGTTTTATTAAATTCATGTAATATATATAAACACACTATAACTTGGTGTGTTTGTACTGTGATAAGATAAAATGAATCAAGGACGTCACTTTGTGTTGAAAAGTGGTGGGCACATAAGGGTTCAGATTAGGGGTATGACGATACATTTGGCACACATGCACAATTCCCAATATTGGGTTCATGGGAACAAGTCAAGAAGATATTTTAACACTATTTGATGAAATATTCAGTACTGAAAGATATTTAAATGGGGGTCCCCTAGAAAATTTTGAGCACTAAACACTTAATTTCCTGCATTCTGGAGACATTTTCTGCACCAAATTGTCTTTATTTAAATAAAGTGATTCAGATTTTTTTAGCTTAAACTTTTTTGACCAATGCACATTTGTTTTTTTTATCTTTAAATTGCATGTTTTGTTATTGTGCAAATAAATCTTTCTCAAAGTATTTTCATTCGTTTTTTTAACATATCTTGTTGCAAGCCATTTTTCAGAAAAGTGATGGAGACATGTCCCCAGTATCCAGTGTAAATGACACCTATGAAATGAATACAATATTTGTGCACTAAGAACTCTTAAGGGGTGAAATCAAAAATTCAAACATTGTGTGGTATGACTTGTTGCAATTAGTTGCACCTTGGTTAGATAAGGTAATGTAATATAATATGCCAATTGCTTCAGTCATTATTCATCCTGTTCTGTTTTTCTAAAGCATCTAAAGGCTGCTTGAAATATAGTATTATATAGTATTGGCTTGAAAGCAGCGGGGAGAAGGAGTTTGGCTCCGGTTTGTTTTTCCCTCGTTCCCGTGGTCGGTGCATCTGGCTGATGCAAGTTTAATGTGCGTTAACTGCAATTTATACTTCTGCGTCAAATCGACTGTGTAGGTGACGGCGTAGGCTATGGGGCTACGCAGAGGAACGCACCTCCAAGGTGCGTTCAGGCCGATTTATACTCCTGCATAGGGTCTACTACTAGGGTAGCCATGCATTTATACTTGTGCGTAGGTGTGTCCATCATTCTGCAATTACACCCCCAAACGCTAGTCGGCAGTTGAAGTACACAGTGAATCAATATATTTGACCGTCGCAACCTGAGCGAAATGACTGGTTTTGCAATCAGAATGTGATCCATTCGGTCGGTATCAGCTGCACGTATACAATTTTACCCCCATTTACGTTAGCGGAGCGCTAAACCAGAAGGTAGCCTGCTCGGCCGACTGGCGTTTGGGGGTGTAATTGCAGAATGACGGACACACCTACGCACAAGTATAAAGGACCATTTATACTCCTGTGTAGGGTCTACGTGTGTACCTTTGCCGTAGGCACAGACCCGTCCTCATCTCATACACACCTGTCTCTCCGTTGCTGTTGTATTATTCACTGACCAGGAACCTTCAGCGAGTCTTCCAGCTCCGCTGTTCCATTAGCATTCGCCACATGCCAATCAGCTTGTTGTGCCAATGTGTTTTATGCTAATTAGAAAATGTTAGCATGCTCAAGTGCTAAGCTAAATGGTCTGTACATGTATAACTCCTTTCTAGTCTTCAAAGCACTCAAAGTACTTTTGCACTAGATCACATTCACACACTTATGGTAGAGGGTAATGTATTCACACAGCCATCAGGAAAAATGTGGAGTTCAGAATCTTGCCCAAGGACACAACATGCAGACTGGAGGATGGAACCACAGTCTTCCGATTACTGGGAAACCCGCTCTATCTCCTGAGCCACAGCCGCCTCTATTAGCATCATGAGCAAACCTGATATCTCCCTTTGGCACAACTGATTGAGTTTGATGGTGAGGAGATTTTATAAGTGGATTTCCCAAAAGAGGAGATTGTTTACACGGCCCCCAGATTTCTGGTGGATCAGAATATACTTAGAGATGCTCTGATGAACAAAAACCTTTGTTTAACACTTGCTGCAATCATTGAAGAGGAAGAGAAAAATCCACCAGAAGAAAAAGGTAAGTTAACCTCAACATTTATCTCTCTAGACATGAAATGCTGATGAACAAACACTGTATGATTATCAAGTGCAACATAACCGTCTAACCCTCTTTTTTTGCTTTACAGAGGAGTTATTATGGAAAGCAAGAGGGGGATAAATGTTACAGTAATATGCCACTTTCATGGGTCACTTATACATTACATTTGCCAGATGAAATTCCACTTTAAGTGGTCATTAGAAATCGAAACATGCACCATACCTTAATGAAACACTCAAAGTAGAGAAGCCATGTGCACCTGCAACTTTTGTTAAATTTGCTTTAAAATAGTTGGCACAAAAGGGACTATCTTAAAATAAATTTTATTTGTTACTCAATTTCAGAAAAAATAATATAAAAACTGTAGCTTTTAGTGACTGAAGTTCAGTCTCAACCAGTTTTATAATTAACACTCAACACATCTTAACAAATGAAGAGCTGTAATGCCTTCTCTTTCATTCCCTCTTATATAGCTACCACTTCCCTACTTTCTCTTGTTTAGTGAGAAATGTGAGCTCAAGCTAGGATTGGAGATGTGAGATATTCCAGTTTTGAACTGCCCGTGGGAAGAATGTACATGTGAAAATCTGTACATTCTTGATTGACTTGACTCTTTTCTCTTTCGTCTCCTCTCTTCCTCTATGTATCTCACTCGCAGACTCGACTCGCAATGCTCAGGGCCGTTAATGGCTCTGGCAATGCTTAACAATGCACAGATTTGATTGGCTGAGCAGCATCACATGAGATGATTAGAGCACATGTGATTGGTCTGAGAGTTTCCTGTGCCGCTGAACGAGGACAGTAAGTGCTAGAAAAGCTGCGCATTTTAAAATAGACGAGCTCCGTCACTAGGTAGTAATTCTCAATAATAGATTATCCGCCTATTAGTGACCTCTGCTCTAGGGCCTCTCAACTTTTTTGCGAGTTTTCTTGCCACCACAGTCTTCTACATGCTTGGAGCAGCAGGGTGAGGCGAGGGGTATTCTGTTGGTTGCAATTTGGAATTTCACCACTAGATGCCACACAATCCTACACACTGCTCCTTTAAAGCAAAACTTTTGGGAGATACCGTTACTCTTTTTCTTCCTGTGTGTTAACTAGGCCTATAGATCAGAAGATCATCACTCTAATAAATGTCCATTAAATATAAGTGAATAGGGTGAAACTGGGGAAAATAGCCCCAGTTTGTGCCTCTTTTGTATAAGCACACTTGAGTCACAGAGTTAACCATCGGTTTCTCTAAAACGGTAACTGGCCAGCGCTGTTTAAATACCCAGAAAGTTGTTTTTAAACACTTAACATTGTACTGACAGTATTTCCAAAATTCTCAAAGACGCTTTTCACCATCTGGATGAAATGATGTCCTGAATGTCTATGAAGATTCTCAGTCATCCAGGTCATAGTTATCCAAAGAAGGTTAAAGTTAAGGGCAACTGGACTTGGTTGAAGATACTGGAAGACATTTTGTCCCTCATCCAAAGGACTTCTTCAGTTCTGATTGACTGACAGGGAAACTCAGCTTTCAACAAACACAACATCCCTGTGTTTTTTAAACCCAAGAACACACTAAGACAGATACTGGTACACCCCAAAGACCGCACACCCAAACACAAGAAAAGCAATCTAGTGTATGCGGTCCAATGCAGTGAGGAATGCACAGACCTGTATATTGGGGAGACTAAACAACCACTACACAAACGCATGGCTCAACACAGAAGGGCCAACTCCTCAGGTCAAGACTCTGCAGTCTACTTACATCTGAAGGACAGAGGACACTCGTTTGAGGACCACCAGGTGCACATTTTAGACAGAGAAGATGGATGGTTTGAAAGAGGTGTCAAGGAAGCCATCTACACCAGGGTTGAGAAGCCGTCATTGAACAGGGGAGGGGGTCTACGCCACCACTTATCCCCCACTTACAATGCTGTCCTTTCATCACTTCCCAGAAAACTCAACAAACGTAACCTATTGGCCTCAGGTGAAGATACCAACGATGGTCGTTCAGTCTTGGCCTCAGGTAGTCCTAACGACTGTAACGACTGTCGTTACAGCAACCAGGAACACTAACGAACCAGCAGTATCGATGACCCGGGCCAACGACCCCACTGAGGTTAAATAGCTGAGTTTCCCTGCCAGTCAGTCAGAACAGAAGAAGTCCTTTGGATGAGGGACGAAACGTCTTCCAGTATCTTCAACCAAGTCCAGTTGCCCTTGACTTTAACCTTCGTTGGATGTCCTTAATGATCATATAGTCTTTAGCCCATTTCCAAAGTTGTGCCTCTGTCTCAAAACAAAGATGGCAGTCCAGCAGTTGACAGACAATAGTATCCTTAGAAAGACTTGTATTTCCTTAAATGTTGAACATTTTGTATAAAGGCAACATTTACAATGTCATCATAAATGCACGGAGTAAAGATGTGATATTTTATGACAAAATGTGTCTTGGATTATTTTCCTCTAGTTGAGCCCTCCGTCAGGCTGAGGTCAGTTGAGACAGCGGGCAGCAAATATCCAGGGATGCTCGTCTGCAGTGTGTACAGCTTTTATCCCAAACAAATTGGGGTGACTTGGCTGAACTGCCCAACAGGAATTGGCTCTACCAGATACACTCCTATCTGGAGTTTACACCCAGACCAGGAGAGAAAATCACCTGTATGGTGGAGCATGCCAGCCTCATGGAGCCAAAGCTTTGTGACTGGGGTAAGAGAGTGTACATGTGGATAGCTGAAGTAAATAACTATTTCAAGCAATGATATATTACCAGTGGTGGAATGGAACTAAGTACGTTTATTTAAGGAAATTTTGAGGTACTTTTTACTCCCCTACATATATTTCACAGCTGTAACTGTCAAAAAAATCTACTTAATATTGTTAGTTGTTATATAATAAACTATCAAACATTAATCATCATTATTATTATATTATTATTATTATTATTATTATTCATTAATAATTATCTGATAATATAATATTAATAATAACACTCATGGGGGTACTTTTACTTTTGATA